GCAGAAATCTTTAACTGAGATGTAAAAAGCATAAAGTACTCTCTCTCTCTCTCTCTCTCTCTCTCTCACACACACACACACACACACACACACACACACATTAGGGCAGTGGCAGAGTCCAGGCAACCCAGACTCCCAGAGGCAATGGTTGCGCCATTGTCAGGGTGGTGGAAATTTTAAGTTTGTGGTGCCCCACACTGAGAAGTGAGTAGGACATGCAGAAGTAGAAGTGAAAGCGTGGATTTATGAGCCAAGCTCAGTACACTGCACAGGACAGAAGCAGGTCAGCGGGAGGAGCCCTCAGCCTCAAAGAAGCGAGGTGCCACAGTCTGCTTGTGGGTTGAGGATTATAATCCATTCCTTCAAGAGTCAACCCAGAAGTGTCAAAGGCCTCCCTCCAGCCCCTCATTCATTAAGGCAAGAGATCACTAGTTCTGGGAGGGGTGACTCTGAACTGGTACAGTGAGTCTGTCTGGTCAGGAGCCAGTTTCCTCCCTTCTGTCCCAGGGACAGGTTTTTGTCCTGTGCGCCTCTGTGGAGCTGCCCTGGTCCCAAAGACCATTATGGGGTTTTAAACCACAGGGCCAATGGAATTATTATTAATTATAATTAATTTGGAGTAACTTTTGAGTGTTCGAGGTATTTTACAGTACTCCTGTCCCAAGGTAGGGCCTAGTGTTAGAGCTGGCTTCTCTTAATGGTTTCTAAAGAGCTATCTCAGGCCCCAGGGGCCTGTAGTATGGCATAGCCTTGTTTTTACCAGGTATGGGCTGCTCGTTAGGGCCAGGTGCTGCCTGTTTTTGAAGAGCTGGCTTTCCCGTTTATCCTCTGCCCTTCAGGCTCCCCTCAAGGGACTCATTTCTACTCCCTCCTGCCTCACCTAACCACTAAGCAATATGATTTCCACGATTCTTTATGGACGACTGAACGCCAGTGGTTTCAGTTCTTCATGAACTGCTTCTTGCTGGGCATAGAACTAGCTTTAGGAGAATCGTAGATCTCTTGCCTTAATGAATGAGGGGCTGGAGGGAGGCCTTCGACACTTCTGGGCTGAGTCTTAAAGGAATGGATTAAAATCCTCAACTGACCATCTGCTTAACATGTAACTGCTGAATCCCAGGAGACATGAAAGAAGTTATGAGGTTAAACAGGCATGGACCAAAAATCAATAGAACTATGGTAACCAGGGGTCCAGCAAAGGTGGCTAGCCATGATAACTGAGAACAGATGTCATACAGCTGAACTGATTTAATGAGCACTGTTGGTAGTTGGCCTTTTTAATTATGGAATACAAGCTATCTAGGAGTTCTCCAGACTCATTTGCAAAGTGTAGCAATCGAAGCATTCTGCAGCCTTTTCTTTGAATAGCTTTAAGTAGTTGTATAGCGAGGTTCTTTTGGAGGCTAAATGGGTTGAGGAATTAATTTGCCAATGGATCACTTATAACAAGGAAGCCAACTCCAATACTTGGTGAGTCAGGAAAAGGGAAAGGTCTCTTGCCTAGATGCTATATGCCAATCTACTGATACCCAGGCTGATTCCAGCCAAGGTAACCAAATCAGCCAGAACAGGGATGGACTGAACTCTTTTGGTCCAGGAATTAGCAAGAAGGCTCATGTATTATCTTTTAAAGGTCAACTGAGAGGCACTTGGATGGTGACATTAGGGACTTGTCAGTCTGGGGCTAGGTATGATAGGGTGAATTTTACTACTTGCATTGTTGGGAGGCAGAGGTACACTTGGTTCTCACAGAAACTGTGCTTCGTGTCCAGGGTGTGGGCTTGTGTAGGGAGAACCAAGAGCCTTCCAATGAGGCCCATTATTACCTGTCTGAGCTGCGGACAAAAAGTAACACACACAGGCGGTTTGACTCACACAAGGGCAATGAATCTTCTGGAAATAAACTGCCAAAATTTATCAGCTGCACCACTGACTGTTTTTTCAGCCTGGTTGTCCTGGAGGTAATAAAAAGAAATTAGTGGTTTTGCATACACTTGTGCCTTACTAATGAGGGAAGAGATAACTCCCTTCCGGGCTTCTATTTTTGAGAAATAAAGACATTTCTATAGTATGGATGAATACAGAGAAGTTAGTTCCCTCAGTATTATAAGAGACCTTGAGAACTTTGTCCCTTCCCCAAGGAGACTAGAAAAATAGCAATTAAAAGCATCTTTTTGAAAGATCTGGCATGAATTAGAGTAGGTGGTATTAATGTAATCTGCAACAGGCCAGACAAGGTGTGTATTGGAGAGGACAGGCTGAGGCACTGTGAAACTGAATGTGTCAGTGTTAATGTTGAATTTTTCAAGGTGTCTTCAGCACCTGTCTGAATATGAAATGTAACATTGACCATTGCCCAGTCTTGGAGATCTCTTGGAGATCTGTAGGTATGGCTACGAACCTCCTGTCTAGATGGGCAAGAGCACAAACTCAGCAATTGTTACATCCAGGATCAGAAAAAATTTATGTACAAAAAAGATGACCTGCTGAGCCAGAGGGAGGTGGAAATGTAGAAGTTTGTATTTTGGCCTCTTCATTTAAAAATGGCACCAAACAGTGAGTTGATGTTATGGTTCAAATATAGGAGGAGGTCCTCTCTAGTTGTCATGTGTTCATAGACAGGGATTTTAGAAGGTGATTGAACTGTGAACTGTGGGGTGACAGAGTTGAGCTGCTGTCAGGAGGTGGAGGCGTGCCTAGAGATGTCAATTACAATTATATATATATATATGACCCTCACCAGCTCCTCCTTTTTCTCTCTGATTAATGCCTTCCAAGACATGAGCAGCTGTCCTTGTCAGGCCTTTCAAACATGCCATTCTGCCTTTGAGCCAATCAACAGTTGACCGTAACAGTGACCATATCTTTTAATTTTTGGGTGCTGAGTATTTTGACCCAGCATGTGAAAGTGACTAATCTTTGAGTACCAAGAGTGAAGTAATGACTATTATTATACTTGATCATGTAGTATAGAAGATTTTGGATTGGTTCACAGGTGGATTTTAGAAAGATTTGGAGGTACTGGCTGGAGAAGTCCTTAGAAGAAAGAAATGCGTGATAAAAGTGTATGTGGTAATGACTGGGCTCATGTTACTCAGTGGGGAACAAGAATTCCCTTATTATTAATTTTTTTATTTTAAAGAGAAAAAAACCCCAGAAATATCAAGAAGCAAACAATTTAAAAAATAACAAAAGCAAAATGATAACCAAAAATATAGCAATGGCAATATAGGATTTCAAAACAAGACAATAGGAATTTAACAACTGTTGTTATATGGCATGTTGTTGTCCTCAAAGTAATTGCTCAGGCTACCAGGTACAGACAATGCAAGATTCATCAAGCAATATAATTTCCCTTTGACAGTTTCTTTCCCTTTTATTATACCTATTGTAACTTTTGGATCTTATTTACTCTCTGTTTTTTTATACTAGGGAGGCAATATGGTGTTTACACATGCAAGTCTGATTTATTTCACTTATGATTACGGTTTCTAGTTGCATCCATTTAACTATAAAAGCCTCAAGTTTATCATTTTTTATGGCTGAGTAGTATTCCATTATATAAAAACACCACATCTTTTTTTAATCCATTCCTCAGTTGAAGGGCATTTGGGTTGTTTCCAGGATTTAGCTATTATAAATTGTGCAGCTGTAAACATGGGTGAGCATACATCACTGTGGTATGATGTGTTCAGTTCTTCTGAAAAAATATCAAGTAGATCGATAATGCAGTCTAATGGGAAGTCTAATCCTAATTTTTTGAGGAATCTCCACACCAATTACCACAGTGGTTGCAGCAGTCTACACTCACATCATCAGTGGAGAAGGGTTCCTTTTTCCCAATAGCCCTGCCAGTGTTTGCTATTGGTTGATTTGTTGATGATAGCCATTTTTTTCTGGAGATGGAATCTCAGTCTTGTTTTAATTTGTATTTCTCCAAATAACAATGCTCAGTTTACATTTGTTCATGTTCTTTGAATCTGCAGGAGACTGAGATTAAGATAGGCAGATTAATTGACCTGACATAAGAAATCTCAAGGCAGCTCAACATTCATTCTGTGGCTTGGGTGCTGTTGCAAGCTGTTAGCCAGCTCTACATGAAGAATCAAAAGCAAATGATACATGTGAATGGTTTTTAAATGTTTGGATTTCCACCTGACAGAAAGAGCCAGAAAATTTGACCTCTACAATTTTGACTGAGAAAAACATGGTTACCAAAACGATTAACATAAAAATACTCTGATTAGGATAATAGGAAAGAAAGATGCCTTGAGGATGTCCCAAGAATCAACAGGACTCTACCAAGGGTATTTTGCCCCAGTGATGAGAAAGTGATCAGGACAGCTGAGTTAAAAATGATCATAGGAAGATAAACCAAATAATTGTACAATCTAGTCATCGCAAACCCATGGTTTATGTTCACTTGTGCTGGGACAATCAGATGGTCAAGTTTCAAGAAATGTCCTTGTGTGCCCTTTGGTATTTTATTAAGGCAGTATTTAGCAGATGACTAATTGATTTGGGGAAATTTGATGTAGCTTTGAGAAGTCAAAACAAATAGGTCTAATTTTAAAAGTAGGTCTCTTTTCAATGAGGAAAAGACATCATGGGGCAATTGGGAATTCGTGGCTGGTCTTTGAATTGTCAAAACAGGAGTAAAGAATAGGGTTCCCTTTTTCCCCAGTTATGACTATAGAACTAGAGGAGGGTATAATGGAGAGGAAAGTTAAACAGCATAAATTGTCCTTGTAGCAACAAGAAGTTGAATTTGCGAGCCCATTGCATCCAGGATCATGTGGAGCTCCTCACAAGTTATGGAGCCTTCCACAGGCAGGCACAGCAACTCGCTTGGGAACCCCTCAGGACTTCATCAGAGCAGGTGTTGTAAATTATAAATGGGTGGGCTGCTTAACACCAGCTGAAATGAGTCAACGTGATGCTGAGTGTAGAGGGCCCACCTGAGGCTGTTGCTGCATAGACGAGAGACCTGGAGAGGAAGACAGAAGCATTGTGGGTTCTCCCATGTTGTTGTCTGGAGCCATTGGTTCTCCTGAGGAGCTTGTCATGCTGGCTCCCCAGATGCGAATTTGGCCATTATCATTGGAGGAGCCTGGGACTTTGTTGCTAAGAGTGGCTGTGGTTCACTTTGGGGGAACTTTATTCCTTATTTTGATCATCACTTCCTGGTTCTGGAGGGGAAGATGTGCGCTGTTTAATCGCCAGGAGAAGCGATTACAAGGTAATCTTTTCCAACATAGTTGAATTTTCTTCTTTACCCCATGTTATCTCTCTCACCTTTTCATAATTAATGGGGTTCTTAATGTACTTTTTATTCCAATGATAAGAGTGATCATCTTAGGTCCTCAAGTCTAATCCACACTGAGTATTATAGTCTCAATTTGTTTCTGTCAGAGAGACAGTGAATATCTCACCATGAGAGATCATCAAGGAATGAGGTTTCTCTTCCACATTCTGAATAATTTATTTGTTAACAGGAAAACAATATTTAAAACCCAGACTAAAACTGTACTTGCAAAAGTCTGCTATTGTGAGAAGTGCACCCCAGCAGAAAGAAGGCTTAAACTATTTCCTCTATGAGGTTTTCTATCAGTTTTTTGCTAGTAGTAAATATAAAATCCTGCCATTTCACAGACCTGTTCGAAGCTTCTGGCTGTCCTCACATTGCTGTTTTGAAGCAGCCTTGCACATTACAAAACTGGACAAAATCTGAACTTCAGCCTACAGGTAGTGAGAGCAACAGCTCATTTGCACTCTGCTTTGAAGGATTTTCAGAAAGTGTAATTTCTGAAGGATACTGTACTTCCTAGATTTGTTTGAATTGCTTATGGTTCTGTTTAAAAAAAAACTAAGAGAAGGAATAATTCTCTTTAACCAAGATACTTCAAAAAACAACCTCTTTTGTCTCTGAGTAGATATGCTCAAATTGACCCTATTTCTACAAGTTCTAGTGATCAAATTATAAATATTTGCATGATTTCAGATAGAGAGAACCTTATAAAATAAAAGGTGTATCTTCACTTGAAGCAGAAATCAGTTCTACATAGGCACACACACTGGGTTTACAGTGCATATTGAAATTTACACATAGTTTGAAGACTTAGCAAAAAAAACTCTGTTTTAATGTAATCTTCAATATAAATTGTCATCATGCATTTAGATCAAGAAGCTTTCTCCTGCTGCTGTGATTTGGTTTTAATTCATTCCAATTATCTCTGCAAATCTTTTAATTTAATTTATTTTTATTAGTACATGTTTGCAGTATTTAATGTATACATTCATCTTAGGTAGTAGGTGCATGTACTCATCACATCTTAATTCTTTTATTTCATTTTCCTCTCCCTCCTTTTTCACTGTATCTACAGATCTATTTCCTTCATTTTCATTTCATTTTTTTAGTGCATGTTTGTTGTGCATGATTACTGTCATTGTGGGTTGTCACATATGTACATAACACATCTCAATTTCTTCATATTCCCCTTCTTCTAATCTCTGTCTCTAGGATCCCTTCCCATTTGCAACAGATCTATCTTCCTATTTTCTTTTATGTGTCTTTTACTTTGCTGTTTATTTATACTTTGGATTTCACATATGAGAGAAGCCATATGGTATTTGAGCATATGCGTCTGATTTATTTCACTTAACATTATGTTTTCAAGTTGCAACCATTTTTCTACAAATGACACAAATGAAGACATCAGTCCCAGCTTTGAAGTGAAGAGCCACTTCTAAGAAAACCACTGGCATGCATGATTGGCAATGATGATTTCTAAGGAAGAGAAAATAAGTTAGCTAAACATATACCACAAGATTGATTTTTTAAAGATTTTCCTGGAAAGAGATTTATGTGAAACTTTAAAAGGGAGAACAAGTCTCTGCTAATCTAAGTGTTTTAGGGCTTTGAAAAGAGAAGTCCACAAACACTAATAATCTATTTCTACTAAAATATTGACAACTCATTGAAAAGTACTCTGATATACTTGCTTACTATCAAAAGGTGTAGAGCTAAGGGCTCATTATAATGTATTCTTCAAATTTAACTGATTCTTAGACTTTTTACCCAGGTAAATTACTTTTAAAAACACATTCAACTTTTGCACACAGGAAGAAAGGGTATAAAATAAAACTCCCAAATGCCTGAGATTCTAATGTATTTAAGTGACATAATCTTGTTATTTTATTAATTTTCTTAAGACCCTCACTCTAGTTCTAGGTCTCTGAAGAAACAAACCACTTGTCTTTTTATTTTAAAGATACAAGATTCTCTAGGCAGGGTCTCTTTAGAGTGGCACAATTCATAATAACTAAATCTTGGAATTAGCCTGTATTTTCATCAATAAATCAATGGATAATGAAAATGTGGGATCATGGATTACTCTTCCATAAAGATAAACTTGAGTCATTTATAGAAAAATGGATGCACCCTGAGATCATAATATTAGGTGAAATAAATGAGACACACAAGCTTAAATATGATGTGGCTTCTCTTATCTGAGAAACCCAAATAAAAGTTAAGGACAAAATATAAGTCAAATATAACAATACAGAGACAAATTCTTCTCAAATGGGATTAGAATCAAGAGGCAAGGAGAGGGATGAGGAAGAGGAGGAAAAAGGAATGAAAAGAGGATTAGAAAAGGAATCAAGATGTGCTGTGTACACACACCAGTGCCACACAAAGAATGTAACCACTATACACTAGCAGCATGGACTAACGAAAATAATAAAATAAGAAAAAATTAGTTTTTACCACCTGGGTACAGTAAAAAGACCAACTGCGGGATATGCTGATGGACACTGAATAGGTCAGCTGGTTTCTCTCCAGTACCCTGTCCCCATATTTTGTCACAGAAAAGGTTTGGTCTGTCTCTGTCTCTCCTTATTCATGTGGTTGATATCAGAGGTAATGTAGGAAAGATAAAATTAAGCGAGGGACAAATTTTAAAACCCATCTGCAAAGCTACTAGACATGGTCAGTGAAAAGAAAGCCTCACAAAGCCATTTAGGGGAAGGGCCCTGTGAGATTGGGATTACACTGAATACAGATGGGGCCAGCTGGAGTTAGCTGGCTGCTCAAGCAGGAGACCAAGCCATTGAGAGTTTTCCCCAAAGAGAAGGAGAACGCTGAATGCAGTATGAGAAAGAAGAAAATCATGGAACCAAAAGATACATTTTAAATTTTAGCTTGCACACACATGAAACACAGACTTGTGAGGTGCATGGAGTTCTGGTGTGGCCCAAAGAACCTCTAGTGCTTTGTTTCCTGACTGAGTTGTCTTTACACAGGATTCCCTAATGGCATCTAACTCTTTGCCTGCAATAAGGAACCAGAAACAAAGAGGGCAAGTATGTTAGAAAGGGGACAGGGGGAGAGGAAAAAATATTTCCCCACTACAGTGTTCAAGTTTTGATTGGCTCACCAAAAAATATTGGGGTGGGGTTTAGTAACAGGTTTAGATTCTTGGTATCCCAAACAAAGAACTGAGGGAGACATACACAAGTAGACATGAAGTTATAGATTTATTTTATTTTTAGCAAGGATCGCAAAACTCATCAGGGTGGAATAGATTAGTGAGAAGAGTTCAAAGCCCTGAAGAAGCCGAAGGTCACAGTTTATACATGGCTTTTATAGAGAGAAAGTAACTCTCTAACCGAAGCAGTGAAGCACCCCCACTTTCTGTTGGAAAGGGGATTTTTTGTCCTTGGGTTGCTATGGCATCTAAAACCCATCAACATGTTCAAACCTACAATGCATATGAGGTCATTAATGTGGGACCACTTTTGTATGTTTGAAATGTTTTATACCACATGGGTCCCAGAGTATGACTTGGTTAGAGCTGCACACACTTTGCTGTCTGTAGAAAGTTGTTTTAGGCATCCCTGGCAGGACTAAAGTGGATGCATCCTCTTGTTTTTGCCAAGTGTAGTCTTGCTGTGAGCAATGGGCATTTTCTGTGGATTTGGAGAGCTAGATTCCTTTCTAATTCTCTGCCTTTCAGGCCCTTTTCCAGGGACTTGTTTTCTCTGTATCCTTCCTTGATACTGTACTCCCTGGCAACCGCTGTCACAGTGCCTAAGAGAAAGGGTGATGGGGCAGTGAAGGGAGCGCTAAGAGGCAGACAGCCAAAAAATACCAAGACAGATACATATTCAGAGAAAGACTGCAAATTTGTAAAACAGAGTGAAAAGAAAAGGCACAGAAGCAACTAACTAAGAAACTTAAAACACAATCCCTGGGCTGGGGATATAGCTCAGTGGTAAGCACCTGCCTTACAAGTGTGAGGTCCTACATTTGAGTCTGTAGACCAGAAACAAACACACAACATTGTTATGAATTTAAGGAGAGAACAGCCTCACTGAAACAAGAACAAAGAAATCAGTTGTGATTTTTGTCGTACTTAGGTAATTCATTGTGCATAACCCAAAGGAAAATTGTTGTCAAGTGTTTTGCAAAGATAAGTTTTTAATAGTTTCAGAAAGCATTCTTAAGATGGAATCAATCCCTCCTCATTCTCTTACCATATTTTTAATCAAATAAGAGGTGAAACCTTGCACTTAGTTTTTTTGTGCATCCAAAAATGGTATGATATGGAATTTATGGAAGTTTGGAAATGCATGTCAATGTTTAATGATAGGAAATCAAAGTTTGAAAACCAGTATGTAACAGGAGAAAACTATAGGTGTATGTAAAGGTAGTCCTACATTATGCAACTCAGAGATGTGAACTTGTATATGTTAGCACATACATCTATATCTAGTATGTTCCATAAAAATTAAATCTTATATCCCAAATAAACAAGAAACATGTATTTTGCAGTTAACTGAATTAAATTTCTAGGAAATGACCTTTCCCGGCTTGTGAATATAAAATATTGAGGCTGTTGGGGAAAAAAGAAAAACCAAATAGTTGGCACCTAGGGATATTGGAATATTTAAAAATATGCCTCGAAGAGCTAACTGACCTTTACTTTTTCTCACTAAATATAACATGCTCACCTGAGCCCAGATTACACATTTATAGAGCATTTGTTTGGAGGTGTTCAAGCATTTAGACTTAAAGAATTTGTGTTGTCAAAACCCATAGCACAAAAACAAGGGGAGTATGCCTAGGGAAATTTTTTTGATTTTTATCTATACAACTAAGGCATCAGGAGGGAAAACAAATGAAAAATTACTGTGACCCAAGATGTGCAAATTACAAAGCGGCCATCACTTTCAATT